CCGTTGCATTGCCAACCCGATATATATCAAGCCTAGGTATATTGTAGCTTGAGTGCCGTAGAAATGTGCATTATATGAGAAAGCCAAAGGCCCATCGTAATCGTAAATCGTCATCATCTTCATCCTCCTCTCGATAACTTGTCTTTTTAAGCCTTCTCGATCGATCCCCTTTTGTACACCATGCCCGAGATAGAGGACCACTTCTCGAAGCAGCGGCTGACAAGCGTCCAGGCCAAAAAGCAACAATGGATCGAGAAAATGGTCAGAGACGGCGCCATTGATTTCAGAGGAGTCGCAGCGGAAGTCTCCGAGCGCTCCAGACATCACTTTGCTGTCGGCGCCGTTACGGCCGGTCGGTATAAACGCCACGGTCAAGAGTACGTCTTCATCATCAAAGCCTTGTACGGTCTTGAGAATGCCGACGACTGTTTCGCAGCAGACAAATTGATCGAATACACCCTCTGCTATCTGACAACCCTGTGTAAGAATGACAAGTTCAACAGAGGCAGGATCTCCGAAAAGTTCAAGCGGGCTTCCCTGGATGAGCGCATAACCAGTCTGCAGCAGCATTTCCTCAAGTATACCCCCGGCTTTGCTAGCATATACCTGCACTGGGAGGCTCTCGTCAGAGCCCATATCCACCACCTGGCGATCGAGTGCCAATTGGGCCGTACCAAAATGGAGAAGTCTTTTTACGGACTGGAAGAATTCTCCGTTCTCTTCGAAACCGCGCTCTCCCAACGCCACGATATCGCCATGACCAAGCAGTCGATCGTCCTGTGGCAGATTGCTCTCTTGGCCGGCATCAGGCCCGGAAGCGTCGGGCCTGTCGACGGAGACCCCGACGGTTCCAGGTATATCAAGTGGGGGGACATCCAGTTCCCAATCGGCGAAGACGGCGAGTTGGAGGTCCTGATATGTATCAAACACCTCAAAGGTTGATTTTGTCTTTCGACAGACGGATCTCATTTACCCAGAATAAAAGTGTTAAGCTGGCCAGCTAACATTTTTGTGTAGGCTCTGCGGATCCGTACGGGAAGAATGCCACCAGCGGGAAGCAGCTCCCCCAAGGCCTTCACCTCAGATTCACCCGACGTCGCTCCGAACAATACATCTGTGCCGATTTGACCATAACCTTGCCCATACTCGCAATCCAACGGGGCTATCTCAAGTTTCGAGATTATGCCGCAGTGGAGGCATACACGAAGAGCCCCGGGGCGATGGCCTTTCTCCCCACCGATGCGCAGATGGCAAACGAGCCTGTGTTTCGTGCGGGCAGAGAGGGCACCGAGATGTTGGAGCAGGGCCCCTTGAAGGCGAGACACACAGCTGCCGTATTGCAACGTATCGCACGGGCCGCGGGGTTCGGTGGGCGGCTTCCAACTCTGTATAACTTCAGAAGGGGCCTTGTAACCCACGTCACGCTGACCAGGGGCGATGACCTGGCTCGTCAGATAGTTGGGCATCGAAAAGTCTCGGAGTCCCTCACGTATGCTACTATCTCCTGTTATATTTTGAGTTGGGGGGGGGGGTGGGGGGAAAGAAGAAGTACGTATTGACAGAAATTCCAATTTGGCAGGTATTACCACCAGGGAACGGTAGGGTTGGACGTTGCCGAGATGTCTCTTCCGCAAGGCAAGGATCTCGAAAAAGACCGCAATTCTTCGAGACGACATTTAACGGCACCGGCCCTGCACCAAATCGAACCGGACAACCAGAAGAAACTAGCCGATGCCGCAGAAAGGTTTGCGCTGGAGTCCCAAGAATACCAACAAGCTTTCGGCAAGGTAACCGGCTACCTTAATGTTCTGGAAGCCAAGTATGGAACCAAAAAGGGGGCCAAGTCCCTTCGCGCCGCGTTTCCTGATATGAATGGGGAAGAAGAGGAGGGCATGTTGCGTCTGATCAGGGAGAAGAAGAACGTTAAAAGGGTCATGACCAAACGAGGGCGCATGAACTACCTCGCTGATACCAAACTACGAGTCCGATCCTCGCTGACTCTGGATGATTTGCGCCGTCGGACCGCTGAGCTCAAGAAGGGCCCCCGACCTTTCTACGACTTTACCAAGTTCAAACCCGACGTTGAAAATTCCGAAGAGTTTTAGAGGTCCAAAGCCTAATTGCGGCTGCGGAAGTTGAAAATGATGGTGAAGACAATGACGATGATATTTTAACAAACAATGATGATGCGCTGGAGGAGCTTCAGAGCGCGCGTGAAATCCAATCCGAGGAGACCCAACTTGAGAGGGCCCAAAGGGAGCATCTCCAGAATGGCGGAAGCGGCGATGACCAGTTGACGATATCTATCCCCGATGACCTTACCGACTCTGACGCAGAGTCCGCCCGCCAGAGGATGATATTTCTATTCGAGAGGTTTACCGCAACCACATCACGTTATATGATGTGTACAAATCCAGTCTGCCGCACGAGGGGCGAGGAGACACAGAATAACTTTATGTGTCACGTTAACCAACCTCACGACCTTGAACGGATGCTTGGTGGTTTGTGCGCAGGTTTCCTGAAAACGGCTGCCCGATCCCCCTGCCCGGTCTGCAAGAAAGTCATCAATGCCGGGGAAGCCCCGAAGAGAAGGCACCTCAAGCACCACGCAGATGCCTTTCGCAAAATCGGTCGTCGTATTGAAGATTAGGAGAGGAAAAAAAAAAAAAAAAAAAAGAGAGAGAGAGAGAGAAGTAGCCGCTTTTGTTTTTTGTTTTTTTCCTGTTACTTCTTTAATTGTTGTTTTTTTTGGCATTGATTTTTTGTCCTCCCATTGTCTCTACAAACTGGTGCACTAATTTATAATCTTGCTTGCAATTGAACGAACTTCGATACGCTGGGAATATTATTATCACTACGTGTCTTACGCATACCTTCTGCACGTCTCAATGATGCTGATTTGATTTCCAAATTATAAAACAGTAGGAACACACCCGAACCCCACTCCTGGTAGGAACACAACTATGCTATGCATGAAGAAGGTAGGTGACGCAAAGGTAAAAAATGTAATGGGAACAACAGGAGCTACCCAGGCTTGAAGCCAGTATAGGGCATGGTCATGGAAAGAAATTTAAAAGCAATAAGCAGGCCCAGAGGCCAGAAAAAAAAAATAAATAAAAAATAAAACTACGTTCACTTATCGTCGCCACCGTCATCGGCATCGTCATCGTCGTCGTTGTCGTTCTCTAGCTCCCCCTCACCATCGCCCCCCTCCACATCCTGCTCCCCCCACTCCTCATCTCTTTCGTTTTCTTCATCCTCGCTTGACGCGAAAGTCCGCTTCCTGAGCCTTTGGCTCGCAGAACTTCCAGTTGAAGACTTATTTCGGTGCCCCTCAGCCTGATGGTTAGCATTAACTTTCCCCTTAGAAGTCTTCCTGGCTTTGGTTGGCCGAACACTAGAAGAACTCTTAAGCTTGCTACGTTGCGACCTTATCTCGGCCTTCATCCCATTCTCCCCCCAATATGCGACCAAAGCATTTGTCGTCTTGGACGGCCAGTCACGGTACTTTATCCCCAACTCGGAATCTAAGAATCTATATAGACGTATGCTACGTTAAATACAACATTGGGAACACCGCCCGAAACCCAAATTTACTTACTGTTGAGCAATAGGGACCCAGACTTGATCTGTTCTGGGCGGCGCCCGTAGTCCGGCTTTAGATCTCAAATTTTCTACAAAAACGGCATCGCTGAGATCAGGGAAAAGCGACCGTAGGAGGTCGAATCTCGTCTGGGCAATAGATAGCTAAGCATGCCAAAGATCTTAGTGGACCTGTTTTAATCGAGTTTATATGGGTGTATCCGTAGAATACTAACCAAATATTTGTCGAAATTAGTTTTGAAACCCTGCTTGAGAGGCAAGGGGACTTCTTCCAGGCAATTGGGCCTACCGTAGCTAATAAGATAGCTATCGATGCAGGCCTGTCGCCACTGAGTGAACGACATGTATAAAAACGCATTCACGATCTCTAGTTCGGTGGCTCCATCTTGGCCTCCATCATCCTCGCCCACCGTAACACCTCCCTCGCCCTCCTCGGCTGCATTCACCACGTGCTCTCTCTGGTCAAACAAGAGAGCCCATGTCTGGGGGTATTCTCTCTTTATGTTGTCCGAGAAGTCTCTAAAGGCAAAAGAGACCTCCAATTTCAACACAGAAATGATTTGAAAAGCACTTTGACATTGAACGGGGAGCAACAAGGACGATAAGGTGGTACAAAAGTTCGCGATCTGGCGGACGATATCAAGGCTCGTATTGGCAAGTCGTTCGTCGGATTTTGTATTGGATATAAGGATCTCGTTGATTTTGGACACGGATTTAGGGACTTCAAAATTCATGGCACGCAGAAGGGCATCTCGACTAATCGCTGGCTTGGTTTCCTGGTGGTTGTTATGAATGTGTGCACATTAAACGGTAAGGGGAACACTGGTCAAGATCACTAACCATGGCTTTTCTCGAAATTGTGAAACACGGATACCGGACCTATATATACATATGGATATACTTTTAAGTATGCAAACATATTACTAACGGGACGTTATTGAACCTACGCCGGTTTCTTGAGGATGGCCACAGTCTTTCAAAAGATTAAGGTAATGGGAAGGCAGTAGAGATACAATGGAGCAGTGATGGAGCGGTGATGGAGGGACGACGAGAGGTGGTAAAAGCGGAATTGAGATGGTCCTGCAGCTAGAATCCGATCGATGGATTACAAGGACGGCTTGAAACTCGACTACGATACTTACTCACTGAGATAAACGTCCCTACGGACTTACCTACTAGGCATGCGCGCATATAAGAGCTGGACCAGTACGCACATTATATGGGAACCGTATTTGTGTTGTGTGTTGTATGTTGTAGGTTGGACGACCAGTCTTGACAAACCTCGTGTCGAGACTGGACAAACCATCAAATCTGCATTTCGTTGATATCATGATTGAGATCACGGGAATTCGAAAGTCCAGATCACAGTGCACAGTCGGAGCCGTCTCGTAACGAATGCCCGGTTAGCTCAATCGGTAGAGCGTAAGACTCTTAATCTTAAGGTTAGGGGTTCGACCCCCCTATCGGGCTGCTATTCATAGGAATCTCGAACATCAAAAACTTTTTTTTTTTTTTTTTTTTTTTAACTTTAGTTTTGCGCCTCATGGGTTAACGTTCGTGCACGTCAAAGTTTGCAGGAGTCCTCTTGGCAGAAAGCTAACCAAGTTGATGCAAGATATCGATGCCTGTAACAATAACTTTTTGCCGCCGTGGTCTTGCAATAATCACAAATCACCATATACCATGGCAACGGGGTATTAACACCGTAACCTAAGAGTCTGACGCTCTACCGATTGAGCTAACCGGGCTTTGTTGAGAATACCTACCGGAATGTGCCCTATGAACCTCCACTATGCGGTCCATAGAATTGAAACACCTAGTATTTGATCGGTTGTAACCGCAGCGCGGGCAGATCGGGATATCTGCCAGCCAAAATGCGTCAAAAGGGTATATGTAGACACCTAGGTCGGTAGTAGGAAGGCCTTCCAAAGCTACACTGTGAACAGAAAAGCGGGTCCTTTAATTGTTTTGGGGTGATACTCTGCTTGCTCTGGGCTAGTTTAGGGCTCATATTTAATATAACGAAGTTTCCTGCACCATATTGACGCTCTGTCGGTTTGTCGGTAGACTTGCAGGTAGATTTAAATTCACGGGCAAATTCGGAGACTAATATAATAGGCAGGTATGCCAGTAGGCATAGCAGTAAGGCGATATGTGAGCGAGGCCTCAAGAGTACTGCACAAACGCAATGATCAACGAAGCTATATGTATAATTATATATAAAAGTGCGGGATTTCTACCTTTATGTTCAACCTGGTATACGAGACAATGTTCAACGGTGATATCAGGAGCCAATTTTAGAGATTGGATTTGATTAGAAGGCCCACTTACAAGTGTTCTTATATACAATAAGATATACACCCTCCCACAGATCTTGGCCGCCATAGGATTGGACAGGGATCATAGTGATAGATATTAACGCCTGATAAGTGGTGCAGTATTCAAATATCAATTAAACAATGACGGTACTGGCGTCGATATTCGTGTATGCACTTGGTATCGATAAATAAATAAAAAGAAGAACGGAAATATATTCAACCCTCAAATTGAAACCTCAAACCAGAAACTCATACAGAGAACTGTTGACAGAAATTTACACAGAAGAATTGGATCCATGGAAGAACAAGAGACAGAAGAAAAAGGAAAATAGAAAACAAAAGGGATATCGTGATACAAAGAAATTCATTCCCAAATCTAAAAAATAACTCGTCAAAAGCATAATGATATCGACACCCTTTTCCTACTTTTTACCTGATCATTATTTTATTTTTATTATATTTTCTACGTTTATGCTTCTCGGCTGGCTGCTCCAACTGGCGCAGTGTATCCCGTGGACAGCTGACCAACCGGCGCATACCCGCTGCTATTCCATCTGCCGGAATCATAAGTCTGTCCCTGCGGCTCGTAAACACCATTACCGCTGTACGCCATACCGGTACCTCCCATATAAGGCGGCGCCGGAGTCGGCGCGGTTCCGTGCGACGCATAGCTCATGCGCTTAGCCGCGTCAGGGCTCTGCATGGTATCATACGGAGTCTGGGTATACGGCGACGTCATCGGCGGGGGCACGTTGGTATTATATTGCGTCGGTTGGATATCCTGCGGTAGACGGAGGAAATCCCAACCTCTACCGCGGGCGACCATGAAGATTGCGAAGAAGGCGCCGAAGAAGAAGAACGACGAGATGCCGAAACCGACTACGAGGCCGACACCGTAGATAGCCTCGAAGTCGTAGTAGATGAGGAATGTTATGACGACGTTGTAGAGAGCGTAGCCGAGGAGGAAGAGGATCAAGACCAAAAGCCAAGTTGTGACGCCCTATAGTAGTGGAGTTTAGTTGGTCATTCCCGATAAACCTAGATATCGGAGTCTGCATAGGAGACATGGAACCGGAGATACACACCTGCTTTCGTTCTGGCTTTCTTGCCAATCTAACCCACGCGAGGCTTAACCCAACGACAGCGAATATAGTCACTAAGAGGTATAGGACAACATAGGCCTGGTTTAACCTTTGCGCTGCCAATATCGTCGAGCTGTTCAAAACACCGTCTACGCCCCAATAAATTAAACAGTAGAGAATGATGTATGCCAAGAACACGATTGTAAGAATGGTGTAAAAGATGGCGCCGAGAATAACCATTGTCCGCTTGAGACTCGTCGAGCCAGCGAGCTGGAACAGGCGTTTTACTATAACGAACAAGATGATACCGAGGAGGAACATCTCAGTGACCCTGCGGGTGACAGTTACTGCGGTATCGAGGGCAGCAGTATCGATGCCTTGGGCATAAAGGACGCCACATTCAACCAGAGCATCGCGGACGATAAATATTATGTACCAACTGCGTAATTATATATTAGTTAGTCCAAAGATGTTTTACAAAAATAAAATAAAAGATTCAAGAGGGCAGGAAAACTCACGCAATGATTAAAAACACGGCGATTCCATATTGGTACCATCTCAATATCGACTTTTCCTGGCCGGCAGTCTTTCTCTTCCCGCTTCTGCTGATAGCGCAGCATCCCAGTATCAGAAACAACAGCAAAATCCCTCCTGCTATACCGATTTCCGCTTTTGAAAGGTCTCGTTCGAAGGCGCCGTAGCGACTACACTGGTTATCGATGGATCCGCCGCTTCCTCCTCCGCCTCTTCTGGGTGCCATATTTTATTTAAATTAATTTGGTTGTCCTACAGTAGCTTCAACTGCGTTGAGCGATAGCGCTATAGTGCTTTGGCGATTTGGGTTGGTAACTAGTCGTGATAGCTTCAATATCGATAGCCGAATTTAGGTCGGAATGATACACAAAGATCTGGAGCACGATCGGGAGGGTACAACCGAGTTTATTAAATACTGCGACTGACTAACAGCCTTTTTTTTAAAGTTTTTTCTTTTATTTCAAGGGCTGAGAAGGTGGGAAAATCTATCTCTCTTTCGTGCGACGTGTGTGTGCAGTGACCCCTCCAAGCCCGTACTAATGGTATGCTTCTTTTTCTGCGAATTAGCAGGATCATGCATTTCAACCATGCATTTATCCCGCTTCTAGTCGAAGAACAAGTATCAGGGATTATTCAGAAATTAGAGCTCTAAGCTAGCTGCAGTGACAGCTTCTTTGCGTGTGTCACGGGCCAAGAGAAGGTAACCCATTCTAAGCCTCCCCAAAACGACCGGTTTGATTATTTTGTGGGTTTCCGCCATCAGGTCCATAGCAGATGCGTTCTCTTGGGCGAGCGATCGCGGTCAACTGGGCAGCCTTACTGTTCCACTCGTTCTGCCTGCCTGGAGGGGTACCTATTGGCGCATGCTCTGCCCATCCGCCGCGCAAGGTAACCAAAAGTATCGTGCTCCAAAATCCAGGCGGTGGGGATTTTTTCCCTCTTCTTTCTTTTTTTTCTTTCTTGCTAATGTAATGGGCTGTGGGTGTTTAAATTTAAATTTGTCATCCTACCCTTGTTCGATAGGCGTGCATTTTGGGGCCTGGCTCGAGGCCAAAGACAAAAAAGAGTTGGTCGTCGACAGGGGACCTGGGAGGCTCATAACGTTAGCGAAAAGAGTCTTTTGGTAACTTTTTTGGTTGAAAGTGGTGGTGTGGAGATCAAAACCCTGGGCGGACTCAGCCTCAACCTGGAAGGCTTCATGAATTCGAAAATTCAATACGAACAGAACATGACGAATCGACGGGTTAAATGTCTCGCGCTTGTCGAGACTGGGATTGGAAAGTATTTACACAGGAGATATCCCAACGGGGGTTTGAATCTACTACTATAAAATCTACATAGAAAGCGGAGAAGTTCGTTCGCAAGATTATACCAAGGACGGCTAAGTTTTTCCAACAAGAATTACAGCAGATATAAGATACGCCCTTTCAAAAACGAGTATGACATCCCTCTTCTGGAAGCTGATGTCGTGAGCAATAAGACCGCCTTGCTGTGCCGTATGAAAAAAACACTGAAGGAAATCGAACAGCTGTACAGCATGAGTCTAGCAATCGTTTTTGTCATATTTGTTTCTTAGGGTTTGGGGCTACGTAGTTCGGGCCGCTTTGCAAGTCTCAACGCATCATAAGTTGAGTTCCGACATGTCGTTGACGGAATAATATAACAGGGTATAGCCATAAAGCCAAGATTCCGGTTCTTGGAATCTTGGTGCTAGTTGCTATTATTAGAGGGAGCATGTACTTACATATATACCGTGTATGCATACCGCGATACGAATCTCTTTTGAATTCACGCTTGACATTTTTGCGCAATTACCCCGCTGCCCGTTGCATGGCTACGGCTCACGCTTGTGCACAAGTAAGTATTTACCTAGATAGCTCAAACTCCTCCCTGTGTATATCGACATCTATCAATGTTCGCGTTCAATATGTTTTAAACTATACATTGGGATCGGTTGATTTATACAGTATTAAGGTTGTTGAAAGGTCTATCTCGTCTTTATCTTCAAAGCGGTTTAGATATGGCTAGGAAGGCAATATTTTTAAAACCAGGCCAGTTTATCTAGCCAGCCTCAAACACACACTCTTCCCTGAATTTCCCGATGGAGTAAGCACTTACCTAGCAGCGATATAACAGTGAACGCATATATATATATGTATACATACATCGCGGCCTCCTAGAATTCCGGAAAACCCACCACAGCCCGCGACGCGCAGAGGTATCTAGTCCACCAGAAACGTCTATATGTATGGTTTTGCGATACGAAAGTGGGCAAACGTCTGCTAAGTTAGTTAAATGATCACAAATACGACCAATATATCAGGCTTTACTCTCCGCAATTAAAGGGGTCCGCGCGGGAAGCGGGAAAAGTAACGCTTATAGCTACATATAAACTGTATATGGTTAGCGGTGTAATATTTGTATTTATTGTCGCGCTGTAATGATTCCGATTGGATAATCCGCTGTCGTAGTCTGTTGTTCACCTATCGAGTCTAGAGTCACTTATGCCTTCCTGTTTTAACGCCACGGACTAGAT